CCCCCACACACACACACTATCGTGATCTCACCTCCTCGTGCTCCGCAGCCGCTGCCCTGTTGGAGGGCGAAGACATCCCGGCGGGCTCCAGAAGACGAGCGGGCCCTGAGGCCGGGGCGACGAGGACGGGGGACGCGGATGCTCCCTCCGTGGCTCGGGTGCTGAGGGAGCTGGGGGCCCTTTACGCCGCCATGTCCCATCAGGCTTTGCACACGGTGCTGATGGAGTGCGCCTTCCACCAGCTGGTCTACTTCATGTCCGCCTTGGCGCTCAACAGCCTGCTGCTCAGGAAGGACGTGTGCTGCTGCAGCCGTGGAATACACATACGGTACAGGAAGGAAAAAAAAAATGAAATCACCAATTGAACACGAGACATGAATGCATATATGCGTGCACTGAATCTCCAAGTGTCCCCAAAGCCTCAACACCCCCTAAAAAAATTACTCTATAGTAAGGCGTTTTTTTCCGAAAAAAACGACCATGTATATTAAGGCGTTTTTCACCGAAAAAAACCCCGGCAATCTAAAGTAAGGTGTTTTTAGCCGAAAAAAACGACCATGTATAGTAAGGCATTTTTAGCCGAAAAAAACGACCATGTATAGTAAGGCATTTTTAGCCGAAAAAAACGACCATGTATAGTAAGGCATTTTTAGCCGAAAAAAACGACCATGTATAGTAAGGCATTTTTAGCCGAAAAAAACGACCATGTATAGTAAGGCATTTTTAGCCGAAAAAAACGACCATGTATAGTAAGGCATTTTTAGCCGAAAAAAACGACCATGTATAGTAAGGCATTTTTAGCCGAAAAAAACGACCATGTATAGTAAGGCATTTTTAGCCGAAAAAAACGACCATGTATAGTAAGGCATTTTTAGCCGAAAAAAACGACCATGTATAGTAAGGCATTTTTAGCCGAAAAAAACGACCATGTATAGTAAGGCATTTTTAGCCGAAAAAAACGACCATGTATAGTAAGGCATTTTTAGCCGAAAAAAACGACCATGTATAGTAAGGCATTTTTAGCCGAAAAAAACGACCATGTATAGTAAGGCATTTTTAGCCGAAAAAAACGACCATGTATAGTAAGGCATTTTTAGCCGAAAAAAACGACCATGTATAGTAAGGCATTTTTAGCCGAAAAAAACGACCATGTATAGTAAGGCATTTTTAGCCGAAAAAAACGACCATGTATAGTAAGGCATTTTTAGCCGAAAAAAACGACCATGTATAGTAAGGCATTTTTAGCCGAAAAAAACGACCATGTATAGTAAGGCATTTTTAGCCGAAAAAAACGACCATGTATAGTAAGGCATTTTTAGCCGAAAAAAACGACCATGTATAGTAAGGCATTTTTAGCCGAAAAAAACGACCATGTATAGTAAGGCATTTTTAGCCGAAAAAAACGACCATGTATAGTAAGGCATTTTTAGCCGAAAAAAACGACCATGTATAGTAAGGCATTTTTAGCCGAAAAAAACGACCATGTATAGTAAGGCATTTTTAGCCGAAAAAAACGACCATGTATAGTAAGGCATTTTTAGCCGAAAAAAACGACCATGTATAGTAAGGCATTTTTAGCCGAAAAAAACGACCATGTATAGTAAGGCATTTTTAGCCGAAAAAAACGACCATGTATAGTAAGGCATTTTTAGCCGAAAAAAACGACCATGTATAGTAAGGCATTTTTAGCCGAAAAAAACGACCATGTATAGTAAGGCATTTTTAGCCGAAAAAAACGACCATGTATAGTAAGGCATTTTTAGCCGAAAAAAACGACCATGTATAGTAAGGCATTTTTAGCCGAAAAAAACGACCATGTATAGTAAGGCATTTTTAGCCGAAAAAAACGACCATGTATAGTAAGGCATTTTTAGCCGAAAAAAACGACCATGTATAGTAAGGCATTTTTAGCCGAAAAAAACGACCATGTATAGTAAGGCATTTTTAGCCGAAAAAAACGACCATGTATAGTAAGGCATTTTTAGCCGAAAAAAACGACCATGTATAGTAAGGCATTTTTAGCCGAAAAAAACGACCATGTATAGTAAGGCATTTTTAGCCGAAAAAAACGACCATGTATAGTAAGGCATTTTTAGCCGAAAAAAACGACCATGTATAGTAAGGCATTTTTAGCCGAAAAAAACGACCATGTATAGTAAGGCATTTTTAGCCGAAAAAAACGACCATGTATAGTAAGGCATTTTTAGCCGAAAAAAACGACCATGTATAGTAAGGCATTTTTAGCCGAAAAAAACGACCATGTATAGTAAGGCATTTTTAGCCGAAAAAAACGACCATGTATAGTAAGGCATTTTTAGCCGAAAAAAACGACCATGTATAGTAAGGCATTTTTAGCCGAAAAAAACGACCATGTATAGTAAGCCGTTTTTTACCGAAAAAAACCTGACAATCTACAGGAAGGCGTTTTTAGCCCAAAAAAACGACCATGTATAGTAAGGCGTTTTTAGCCGAAAAAACGACCATGTATAGTTAGGCGTTTTTTACCGAAAAAAAACGACAATCTACAGGAAGGCGTTTTTAGCCGAAAAAACGACCATGTATAGTTAGGCGTTTTTTACCGAAAAAAAACGACAATCTACAGGAAGGCGTTTTTAGCCGAAAAAACGACCATGTATAGTTAGGCGTTTTTTACCGAAAAAAAACGACAATCTACAGGAAGGCGTTTTTAGCCGAAAAAACGACCATGTATAGTTAGGCGTTTTTTACCGAAAAAAAACGACAATCTACAGGAAGGCGTTTTTAGCCGAAAAAACGACCATGTATAGTTAGGCGTTTTTTACCGAAAAAAAACGACAATCTACAGGAAGGCGTTTTTAGCCGAAAAAACGACCATGTATAGTTAGGCGTTTTTTACCGAAAAAAAACGACAATCTACAGGAAGGCGTTTTTAGCCGAAAAAACGACCATGTATAGTTAGGCGTTTTTTACCGAAAAAAAACGACAATCTACAGGAAGGCGTTTTTAGCCGAAAAAACGACCATGTATAGTTAGGCGTTTTTTACCGAAAAAAAACGACAATCTACAGGAAGGCGTTTTTAGCCGAAAAAACGACCATGTATAGTTAGGCGTTTTTTACCGAAAAAAAACGACAATCTACAGGAAGGCGTTTTTAGCCGAAAAAACGACCATGTATAGTTAGGCGTTTTTTACCGAAAAAAAACGACAATCTACAGGAAGGCGTTTTTAGCCGAAAAAACGACCATGTATAGTTAGGCGTTTTTTACCGAAAAAAAACGACAATCTACAGGAAGGCGTTTTTAGCCGAAAAAACGACCATGTATAGTTAGGCGTTTTTTACCGAAAAAAAACGACAATCTACAGGAAGGCGTTTTTAGCCGAAAAAACGACCATGTATAGTTAGGCGTTTTTTACCGAAAAAAAACGACAATCTACAGGAAGGCGTTTTTAGCCGAAAAAACGACCATGTATAGTTAGGCGTTTTTTACCGAAAAAAAACGACAATCTACAGGAAGGCGTTTTTAGCCGAAAAAACGACCATGTATAGTTAGGCGTTTTTTACCGAAAACCCTGAAGACCTGGATTTGAACACTGCACCTCTGTGCTGGTAAGCCAACACAGTAACCAGTCCACCAGTGGCACTGCTTTCTTGAAATTGTAAGTAACAACCCAAAAAGGTCTTCATATATGTGTTCAAAAAAGCTTCACATGCAGGCTTCGCAGAGGAAGGCCGAGACCTGGATTGGGCTAAAAATGCCTGACTAAACATGGTCCTTTTATTCGGCTAAAAACGCCTAACTATACATGGTCGTTTTTTTCAGCTAAAAACGCTTTACTATACATGGTTGTTTTTTTTTGGCAAAAAACGCCTTACTATACATGTTCGTTTTTTTCATCTAAAAACGCCTGACTATACATGGTCGTTTTTTTCAGGTTAAAACGCCTTGCTATACATGGTCGTTTTTTTGGCGGGAAACGCTTTACTATACATGGTGGTTTTTTTCGGCTAAAAACGCCTTACTATACATGGTCATTTTTGTTTCGGTTAAAAAAACGGCTTACGAAACATGGTCGTTTTTTTTTTGGCTAAAAACGCCTTACTATACATGGTCATTTTTGTTTCGGTTAAAAAAACGGCTTACGAAACATGGTCGTTTTTTTTTGGGCTAAAAACGCCTTACTATACATGGTCGTTTTTTTTTGGCTAAAAACGCCTGACGAGAGAGAGTCTTTTTTTTTCGGTAAAAAAAACGCCTTACCATATATACATGGTCGTTCTTTTTGGCTAAAAACGCCTGACGAGAGAGAGTCTTTTTTTTTCGGTAAAAAAAACGCCTTACCATATATACATGGTCGTTCTTTTTGGCTAAAAACGCCTGACGAGAGAGAGTCTTTTTTTTTCGGTAAAAAAAACGCCTTACCATATATACATGGTCGTTCTTTTTGGCTAAAAACGCCTGACGAGAGAGAGTCTTTTTTTTTCGGTAAAAAAAACGCCTTACCATATATACATGGTCGTTCTTTTTGGCTAAAAACGCCTGACGAGAGAGAGTCTTTTTTTTTCGGTAAAAAAAACGCCTTACCATATATACATGGTCGTTCTTTTTGGCTAAAAACGCCTGACGAGAGAGAGTCTTTTTTTTTCGGTAAAAAAAACGCCTTACCATATATACATGGTCGTTCTTTTTGGCTAAAAACGCCTGACGAGAGAGAGTCTTTTTTTTCGGTAAAAAAATGCCTTACGATACATGGTCGTTTTTTTGGCTAAAAACGCCTGACGAGAGAGAGTCTTTTTTTTCGGTAAAAAAAACGCCTTACTATATATACATGGTCGTTCTTTTTGGCTAAAAACGCCTGACAAGAGATGGTCTTTTTTTTCGGTAAAAAAATGCCTTACGATACATGGTCGTTTTTTTTTGGCTAAAAACGCCTTACTATACATGCTCGTTTTTTTTCGGTTAAAAAAAACGCCTTACTATACTTGGTCG